ACGCCGAAATTTACCGGGTCGAAGCTTCTACCACCAGATGTGAGCAATTTTAGCGATGAGCGCTTCGAAGTTCTAACCCTAGATGACGTCTATATCAAAATTCACTGGGTCCAGCACGGTCTGTGAGCTTTTCAAAGTTTACGCTGGAACCTGATATTTAGCAGGGCCACTTGAATGCTTTACGATGGGGCAAAGATGTAGCACGGCCTGTGAACTTTAAAGTTTTACCGTGGGACCCCAGCCAAAAATTTAGCGGCACCCGGCTGGTGCTAAGGGAATCTTCAGATGACATCCAAATTTAGCGGGTCGAAGCTTTTACCACTAGATGTCAGCAATTTTAGCATTTAACTCTTCAAAGCTCTAACACTAGATAGTGTCTATCCAAAAAATGAAAAAAAAAATCACTGGGTCCGGCATGGTCTGTGTGCTTCAAGACTTTGCACTGGCCCGCAAAGTTACGCAAGTTCACTTCAAAGCTTTACATTGGCCCAACAATTAACACGGTCCGCCAGCTTCAAAGTTTTACCGTGACCTCACCCCCAATTTAGCGGCACCCAGCTGGTGCTAATTGGGACCTTCACATGACGCCCAAAAATTATAGCAGGTCGAAGCTTTTACCACCAGATGGCACTCAATTTTAACGAGGACCACTTCACAGTTTGAACACTAGATGGCGCCTATTCCAGAAATTCGCTGGGTCTTTACAAAGTTTTACGGGCTGGCCCCAAATTTTAGCAGGGCTAGTTTAAAGCTTTATGCTGGACCAAGATATATCACGATCCGCGAGCTCCAAAATTTTACCGTCACCTCACCCCCCAATTGAGCGGAACCCAGCTGGTGCCTTTTGGGACCGTCACATGACGCCCAAATTTAGCGGGTCGAACACCAGATTGCATAAACCATGTAGCAGGACAGCTTTAACAGGTGATCTGACTCGCGCGACATACGGATAACGACATCGTCACATGACCTGCGATATGACGCATTCATATCCTGTGGGGTTTATTTTTTATTTATATTACGAAAGCCAAGTAGCGGGAAAACACGTGATCTGATTTGCTCACACGGAAAACTAAGACCAGATAAGCCCTCTAGGAAGCAATGTGCTTCTAGCTCAGGAGGTAGAGTGTCGGGCTGCTGTGCACAAGGTCGATTCCCAGCCGCCGCAGAGCCTTTTTCAGCGAATAAAAGTCGTTTACCGCGCAGCGATTCAAATAATGTCACGTGACCGTCATGTGAGCGCGGCGCAGCGCCCTCTGTCGGATTCAACACGAACCCTGTGTGACATCACGTGAGCTCCCTCTGTCAGACGCAACTCGAACCCGGGGAAAATCACGTGGTTAACATCACGGGATGGGAGCCGTGGTGACGACATCTCTGATACGTGTCTTTCCCACGCTTCTGACACGCGCCGCGTACGTGACTGATAATATCGGCTGTTAACACCTGGTGATTACAGGCTAAGTGTCGCGTATGTGGCACGCACCGCGTACGTGACCTCACACCTATACCGCGTACGTGACTCGAGGGCGGGGCCTCGATGAGCTCCGATTGGTCACTGGCTAATGCCCTGTGGGCGAGACCATCCATGCCAACGGCCTGTCATTGGTCACTGGGATGGGAGAGAGGGAAGGGGCCCCACCCTACTGCTCTGTGACTGGTCGGATTGGGCTTGGCCCCGCCCTGCTGCGTTGTGATTGGTCGGATTGGGTTTAGCTCCGCCCTCCTGGGCTTTGAACATGTGACAGTAATGGGGTTCGCGGCCACAAGGCGACGAGGCCGCGAACACCGCTTGAATCGCGCACGCGAAATCACGTGATAGGAAGACGAGGAACGTCGCACGACTATGGACACATGACCTGCGGCAATGACGCATCCTGTTTTTAACTGTATTACAAAAGCCAAGTAGTACGCGGGACATCACGTGATCTGAATTGCACACACGCACACACGAACAACTAAGACGACTTAAGCGGTCTCGGAAGCAATGTGCTCGTAGCTCAGGGGGTAGAGTGTCGGGCCTATGTGCACGAAGTAGCGAGTTCGCTTCCCAGCCGGCCGCGGAGCCTTTTTTATCGAATAAAAAAGGCATTTACTGCGCAGCGATTCAAATTCAAAACACGGGACCGTCATGTGACCGCAGCGCAGCGCCCTCTTTCGGAGGCAGCACGAACCCTGTGTGACATCACGTGAGCGCCCTCTGTCGGACGCAGCTCGAACCCTGTGACATCACACGTGAGAGGCCCTGAGGGCCACAATTCAAGTCCTATAGCGCCCTCTGTCGAACGAAGCTCGGACCCTGTGACATCACGTCGTTGTTATCAGACAGCTGTCAACACCTGGTCAACCACGCTTGTTGTTTGAGGTCTGAGGTTTGAGGTGGTTGTTATCAGACGATGACCACAGCTGTCAACACCTGGTCATACACGCTTGTGGTTTGAGGTCATGAAAAGTGGCACGCGCCTGACACGCGACACGCACGTGACTTCACACCTATACCGAGCATGTGACTCGAGGGCGGGACCTCGCTGAGCTCCGATTGGTCACTGGCTAATGCCCTGTGGGCGGGGCCATCGATGCCCACTGCCTGGCATTGGTCACTGAAATGGGAGAGAGGGGAAGGGCCCCGCCCTACTGCACTGTGATTGGTTGGATTGGGTTTGGCCCCGCCCTCCTGCGCTGTGATTGGTTGGATCGGGTTCGGCCCCGCCCTCCTGCGCTGTCATTGGTCGCTGTGCAAACTGGTACATGTTTTCTACTACTCAGCGTCTTCGACATTTTGGAGTCCGTCGATAGCTTAAAAAAATATCGTTATCGCGGATGCAATGAAGAAAAAGCAGCAGAAGATGCAAGCTTACTACTTCATTATGTAATATTTCTGCAGAAAGTGGATTTTTGAGAGTCAAACTCGTTAAAACTTTTATATCGAATCACCCGCTATATCGAACTGGCAGGCTTTTTTTGCGAGTTTGATATAAACGGGTTTGACTTAATCTGGCTTGGATTTCCACTCAGGTGGTGCAAGCTTCCGACCATTTAATACTCCCGAATTCAATACACTTGAAATTGAAATTAACAATTATAGTACTTATAATACCAAATAAGGGCAAATATAAAACTATAGTTTGAACATATCTTGTGGTATTTGTTGCTTGTAGTATTCGAACTATTCTATTCGAAATTATTCGGCCAGAATCACTATTCGCTTCGAATTCGTTTCGGACCCAAAATCCTCTATTCGCCCAGGCCTAATGAAAAGGTGACGTCGGCGGAAGGCAGGGGTTAATTCTTTGGACTGTAGACTTTGTTCTTAACTGATTGCGAGCAGTTTCACGGTGTCAAATTAATGCTTTGGAAGCTCACTTCAGCACCCACGCAGCAGCACAAAAGAAAATGCTCAGAATAGTCCATTTTTAGACTGCCCATTCAACCTGCAAGCCTGCCTTCCCCCGACGTCACCGCACTGAAAGATCGGGTATATCTGAATATTGGTTTTGGCATCACTTTCACTTGCCGATTTCACAATAACTATTCTGAATTTCGTGATACTGGATAGCATGCCGAGAAGGGTAAAGGCCGGGGATTCTGAAAATATAGTTATTTTTGGGTAGCTAAACAAATCGCCGGAGTAACCCTTCAACCTCAAGGCATGTAGCATAACAGAGGGGAAGTGGGGAAACACTGATTAGCAAGTAAGTACTTCTGTCTTGAAAGTCAACAATCAAAACAATTCAGCGGAATGCACGAGTCTGGTGCAAGTAATATTGCATGGAAGACTTGGAAAAAGCCTGAAAATTTGGACATATAAACACGCTAGACATGCTGAAACTTTTTTTTAAAGGCATGTTAGATTCCCAGACGTTTTTTTTTAAGAAGAAATCTCTTCAAGTTGAGCACGAGGCTTTTGTTTCTTCCTCGCGCCTTAGGTCCTCGAACGTTTGGGGCTTGCCTTAGCTCAACCAGGTCCTGCCATTCCCTTCCTCTTCCACCCCGAAGTCGACCTCGCCGAGAAAGTGAAAAAGGCAACCAGGGAGGACATTAGTAATGCAATTCAGCACATCGTGCACAAGCTCAGGGAGTCTCCTGACAAATGCTGCGAGCTCATCTTGAAGAACGAGCCAGTAACGGCTGTTCCTCCGAACAGTGTTGTCGAACGGGTGTCCCTCAAGTCAAAACTGTGAGAGTAGTGAAGGGGGGACGAGGAGAGAGGGGTCGGAACAGGAGGGAGCAAACAAATCTGGAAAGCGGGGTGTGCCGGCCTTATCTGAACACGAGTTTGGCCCAAGTGCCACATTTTTCGGTCTATAATTTGCATAAGAAAAGCTTTCAGCTGAAGAAATGGTTTGGAACGCAGCTCTTGGGCGCCCGTTCCTGCATATATACAGTGCAATCCACTTATAATGATATCACATATAACAATGTACCGCTTATAAACAGTCGGTATCTTAAGGACCATGCATTTTTGTGTGGGGTATCCAATCCAGGTACCACGATAATCGGCTATAACGATTGCATTTGTGGATTTTCTCATTATCGTCAAAATAAGAAAATTCTCCACACTGACAAATAGAACATCATGAATGACGTGTAGTAACAGTGGGTGTTTCGTGCCGTCGAGATCATTGATCCATATTACAACCGGCTACCTGCAGGGGCATCATGGGCGAAAGCAACACATAAACAATCTCTGCTTTTCTTGCTGACCAACGTCTGGTCGCGGGATCTCGACAATCGCTCCGATAACGAACAGTTTTGCGAAACAGATCCTCGTATGGTCCACGCGTTTGGACGGTCCCCACAGCATAAAATGTTAACTTTTAGACACGGCGTATAGTCGACAGACCTTGGTCCGGAAGATATGGTGGCATTATTACGCTGCAAACACAAGGTTGCCTTGGAATTCGGACGCGCAATTAGGTGTGCTAAACAGCCCAAACTTTTTTCGAAAAGAAAGCTCTTCAAGTTGAGCTCAAAGCTTTGTTTTCTTCCTCGTGCATTAGGTCCTTGAAAGTCTGGGGCATGCCCTAGACCAGCCAGGGCCTGCCATTCCGTTCCTCTTCCATCCCAATGTGGACCTCACTGAAAAGATTAAGATACCCACCAAGCGGAACATCAGCGGCACAATCAAGCACATTGTGCGCAAACTCCGGGAGTCTCCTGACCGTTGCTGCGAGCTCATTCTTGGGGAGCCGGGAACGCCGGCTCTGCCAAACGACGTTACTCAAGAGGCCAAATTCATTCCCTACATGGTTCATCAGACGGAAAACTCGGGAGGTGCATGGCGCTGTCTGATTAGCTGAGCCGCTTGTCCAGTGGCACGACTAGATCACACTTGTATTTGCTTACGACAGAGTTCTTGTAATCTCTTACGACGAGAAAATGTAAAAAAAAAGAAAGACATTAGCAAATCTCTGTAATGCAAAATTAGAGTGCAGCTCTTGAGGAGGAGGAGGAGGGGAGGGTATGCCCCTCCTCTCTCTCCCGGCCTCCTCCTCCTCTCCCCCTCCTTCTCCAGCTAAATGTAGCTGGAAAATTGACGCCACGTGACCTCGAACACCAATTCAATTTTTCCGCTAAATTTAGCAAGGAAAATGACGTCACATGACTTTGTGTCATGTCACCTATAAACAAATTCAGTTTCTCCCCTAGATATAGCGGGAAAATTGACGTCACGTGACCTCAGCAGCAATTCAGTTCCCGGCTAAATTTAGCGTTGAATTGAATTGGTGTTGAGGTCAAGTGACAACAAATTTTCCCGCTAAATTTAGTGCGGTTACGCCGATGACGCCGCGAAACACTTAAACGGGCGCCCAAGAGCGGAGCTCTAAAAGCAAAATGAAAATATACGGAAACTAACGTTACTAGAACACTCAGTTGGAAAGCTGCCATAGAGCCTGCTCTGAAAAAGTGGCACAGACCCGTACTCGAGAACCGAGCTAATGACGATCGCAACACCGATATTTTCTCCGCAGCGGCCACTCGGGGAACTGCACGGCTACTTGTATTGGTTCGGGTGTATCGCATTGGATAGCGTCTGTTGCGACTTCTATTTTGGCTTTAATCGGCCATTTTGGCGCCGAAACATATATGGTGGAAGGGGTTTCAGGATTGCCAACCCTCATCTCCCAAGAGGATGCGCCCAGGTTGGGATGCGCTACCTGAAATCACTGATGAAACGTGGTTGTATAAAAACAAAATTAATCATACCGCAAAACCTTGTAAACTAAAGATTTTAGAAAACATCACGCGCCTGTATTTTGTACTGATCTCCAATGAAAGTTCCTGCAAAACGAGTTTTTTTCGTTTGTTTTTATGCAAAAACATGCTTTCTGAAATCTCATGGTGACCACAGTAAATAAAAAAAAGATTGAGCCGCCATCTTGGCCCCTCAAGCCTGGGAGTTTCGGTACTCGGGGAACATTCAGTGACTCTAGCAGTAGCCATATAGAGCAACCTTCATGTTTCAACTCGTTGCTAAATGGTGGTGCTGTTATCGTATTTAGCTCAGCCTCGGTGGACGCCAGCGGCCCAGGTTTCAAGGGCGAGTTTCCAAACTGAGTGTTCTAGTTACGTTGATGGAAACTGAACATGTTCCACGGATGCCCAATAGGCGGAGCCACTGTGTTCTCTCAATTGCAAGAGATCACAAGAGGTTGTAAGGCACTCTGTTGTCGTAGGGAGTCGCAAGTAATGTGAATCAGCCTTAATTGTTTGTACGATAGCACCACTCGAATCCTATGTCTGGTTTAATCTAATTTCCGTGCGTGTTACCTGTACGGGATGGAACCGTCCGACACTATTACTTCCCAAGTCCTGCGGGATTTGGTTGTTGCTTTTAAGAGTACAAAGTACACAGTATGGGTTTATATTTTTTAGAGCGCAGCTCTTAGGCGCCCATTTCCGGCTCAAGCGTTGGCGTAGCCACGCGTTGCATTATGGGAGGGTTAACCTCATGAGGGTCAGGAGTAATGTCATTATAGGAAACACACTGTGTGTGACGTCACACGCATCTAACATTGCCAATATTCCCGCTAAATTTAGCGGGGAAAGTTTTCTGCTAAATTTTATGGAAAAACATTCCCGCTAAATTTACCCTCGTGACGTCACAAGGGTAAAATGTTCCTGGTAAATTTAGCGGGTAAGGAAGAGGGGCATACCCTCCCCTCCTCCTCCTCAAGAGCTGCGCTCTAATTCGGCGTTGCAGAAAATTGTAAAAATCTTTCATTTTTTGCCTCCTTCAGTGCTTATTTATATTGCGGGGATGGGCAAGTGCTGGTTCCAGGCAAGCAAAAGCTGATCGTGCTCCACGTGTTCACTTAGCAGTGCGTCTGTGACAAGGTATACATAGCCGAACCCTGTGATGTAAAGCATACTTGGCCCATTCAAACGTTATACTGGTCTAACTTTTTCTTTGTGCTTGTAATGAGACGAAGGGTAGGTAGTTGCGACGGTGCCTGTATATTGTCCGCGAAAGTTTGCGGCGGACCTCTGCACGGGCCAAAGACCAAAGCTTTGTGACATCTTGTATACTTCATTGGTTCCCATATACCATACCTGCAAGTTTTCCATGTTGCCATGTCTCTTTATGCCTTCACGGATGTTTTTAAGGTGTGAAGACATTCTGACACTTTGATTCAGTGGGACAAGTCCTATTGGGCTGTTTTTTATGCGTTTTAGTCACTGGGAACATTTATAAATGAAGCTGCAAACAATGTTCAGCCGGTTCCTCTCTTTTTTTTGGACGAAAGGCTGAACAACAATTTGACTTGACACTCGCATTGCATGGGTTTAGGTAGTAGTGCTATTACTTTTTTACTTACTTATCGTTACTCACTCATTCTTGCATTGTATGATGGAGCTTGATATTGTGGATGCTTGGGCTAGTTGGTAGCTGTGTGCCTGCGAGTGTGACTGTACATCTGCGCTGTTCCATTCAAGTGTGATGGAGACTGTGGTGCTTGAATTGCATAAACCTTGTCCTGTTGTGTTGGTAAAGATGATCGATGAAGACTATATAAGGAGGAGGATTAAATAAATGAGTTAGTTGGGTTTGAGACGTCGTCCTGTCTATTTTCTGTCTGTTCTACATTTTGATGTTTCTCCTCCACCCCAGTCTCAGGTTAATCTAACATGGTTAATATTCACCAGCTCACCTGCACCCAGGGATGGGCAGTATTTCAAATACAAGTATTTGAAATACGTATTTCAAATACTTTGTGTATTTTGCATTTGTATTTAATTACAAATTGGGTAATGTATTTGACGTGAGTATTTAAATACTAAAACGTGGGTATTTCAAATACAATTATAATTAAATACAATTTTGTGGGCAAAAATACATTAAAGGCACTGACCAGAGCAGGAAGGAAACTACGTTCTGCACCGAATGCAGTGTCTCTCAATCAAGCACAAGCGTTTAGTGACTTTGTGATTACGGTGCTAGTCCAGGGCAAGAATAGTGACGAAATCGACGTTCACAGGCAGATTGACTAAATAAGTGCGTGTGACAACTTGTAATGCTTTCCAGCCTGATTTCCATCCATATTTTTGCCTGGAACGTTGTAAATGCGCGGGTTGTCCAGATTTTCGTAACTGGTGCGAGTTGCATCAATAAAAAAATCTCTAGCTAGTGCTGCGCATCTTGGTCGTCCCGGTTCTTTGTTGGTCTATACCAAAATGTAATCGACAAAAAAGGCTCCTTGAAGCTCTCTACTTTTTCACCTATTACGTCCAAGCTGATTACATTTTTTGTGATTATATTTTTATTATGTTACTAGAGCCTCGCACACTAACGATGTGCAATGCAAAATTAAAATGAGATACCCAGAAACCCGTTGCAGGTGCCCTGAAGTCGCTCATGCAAATTTTGAGGAATGTATTTGGAAAAGTATTTGGAGGAGACCAAATACATTTGGTTGTATTTGTATCTTGTACTTAAATGCTTTTTTTGGCAAAGTAATTAGATTTGTAATTAAATACATTTTTGACAAAGTATTTTGTATTTGTATTTCGATACAAATTGGCATGTATTTTGCCCATCCCTGCCTGCACCCTTACAATATTTTCTCTTGTATTTTAATTTTTCTTTTCATTTGCCTTTAAAATCGCTGGTCGCTAGTCCCAGTGAAGTATTTGTGTTCCTATGTACATACTGTAAGCTTTTATTTTTGTGGGCCTAATATTTCGCCAAATTCGGAAAGCTGCTTACCCGTTACCATGGGTCGATATATTCACAAGATCTAGTTTCTGCAATATTTTTCAGGTCACAAATTTCGCGAAAATTAAGTTGCCGTGTAACCTTGTGGTGTGCTGCCTGAGTGTGGTCTTTGCATCTAGGTAATCCCATTGCCCTTGGATCATGGCAGACAAATGTGAGGCAGCACAGTGAGCCCGAAGGAAACTTTGTTTCCCCTTCAAGTATTTATTGACGATTTAACTTTCATAGCTTTTTCTCTGATCGTATCACATCTCTTAGTTTGGTGTGCAAATTGTTTGAGGGAACTTGGTGTTGGAGTTCATGCCTTTCACATTGTCACAAACATGTCTATTGATTCCAGGGACCAATCATGAAAGATTGCAAAACCTTTTGTGCAGATTTTGAATTTTTTTTCTAGACAGGTGATTGTTTGGGGTGCAGCTACAGTGCCTTAACCTGTCCACATCTCTCTTGGGACAGTGTCAAAACATCAAGTGATATGGCAACTGTATGAATCTCGGACAGTAAGTTGTTCTGTCTCGAGAATGTGGCAACCTCCGTCTCCCCTGTCGAAGGTCCACTTGGCTAGTGCAGTAATGACTACTTACTCAATAGGGATCACAATAATGACTGTCCTTATACAATGATTGTCTATATTGAAACCAGTGGAAGTGAGGTGTATCTCTGAAAGTGCATTTATTTTTATTTTCACATCCTGTTGTATTCTCCGCACTTGCAAGCCCTCTCACTGAGAGACCAGCAGACATCTCTGAATGAACATTTTCTAAAAAAAGGCACAACTTGCGACCACAATGCAAACTTCCCTCGTGTATCAGTGCCATATGCCATGGTGTTGTCCTTAACGCATGTACACTGATCTCCATTCTATAACTGCCATAGTAAGCAAATGACAGGCCATGCAAGGCCAGATGACATCTCTTATCCTGTGGAGGCATCTACACAAATTGCTCATTATTATGCCATGGCATTGTTTTTTCCTAGTGTTGCATATTGGATTGTATGCTTTGTTCAGTGATTCTCATTCTCTGCCATTTTCAGTTGACCATATGCACATGTAATACATGTTCCAAAGGGTTAGGAAATAATAAATAGTGTAAGAGCTGGCAATGGTCATTTCCTTCCTGCACTGTTGACCTGCCATGCTGAACCTGTGTTGAATGGCAACTGTCTTGGCTGCAAGGAAGAAGTCCACAGTGTTGCTAACCGCGCACAAATCTACAGAATGCCATTCCAGCTAAAGCCTACCTTTTTGTTGCTCGTCCTGTTGACTAAGGAATAAACAGGTCTTGGCAGATAGAAGAGAAGGACTATGAATATTTGAACAAACGTTAAATATACTAGAAGATGGAAAACCTGCATGCACGTGATCTGTTAAGTTGTACTCGCGCATGCGTAGATCAAGTTAGAGCCTTGAAAAGGAAGGACATGACCTTCTTTTTCTCGACCATTTTGTGTCGTGACCTGAAAAGTAAGGTCATGGCACAAGAAAGGTACAAAGCTCATAGACTTAAAGGGGCAGTGCAACGATTTTCAGACGTTGGCCAACTAACTGCGGAAATTAATCTGCGTCACCTATAAAATGAAAAACAGAAAACCGCATTTTCTTGCGAGCGCTAGTTCTTATTTAAAAAAAAAAAATGAAACAAATCGAAGGTCAAAGTGCCTCTCAACTCTCCACGCCGACTTTCGAGTGACGTACTCTGGGGGTTCACGTGGTTTCCCCTTGGGCCCTTTCTTCAGAGACCCCAGCCGCTTCCTCCGCAATTGTCGACTTTTGAAGGATTAGCCTCGTCGAAGGTCGCGGCGAGCGATCGACACAAAAGACGGTTCGCCACGGGGCTGATGGCGAGTGTAGCAGTGGAGGGGTACAGGGTTTGTTGGCGTACCCCCAGAGATGCCGTCATTCTGATTCCTGTAGCTGCCACAGGTGGCTGCAGATTGGCAAATAATTAATTTTTTTTGCCTTGCGATTACGCAGCAGAATAGCAGTTTTTCGGGGAAAGACGACGCGTTTTTGGTCACTTGGGCTTGTATAAACAATATAAAAAATGTAAACTGGCAATTCTTTCAACATTAAAACCTTTGCACTGCCCCTTTAACACAAAAACCTTCTTTAAAAAAAAATGAATGTTGAATGGTTGTTACACGTAATACAGTGAACCAAATCTGACAGTACAAATTTGGCATTTCACATTAACCAGTGCAGTCTTTCTGCAGAATGTCACGCAGAGTACCTTCTGACCAGACATATCGAGTTGAAAATTCTGAGATTGCGCAATGTCCAAGCCGAGCCCAAGCTTAGCTAACAAGTGCCCACTGGAATTGACACGGGAGTAAGCAATGACTAATGTATCTATTTTTGTTTTGTTCATTCAGCACACTAGGTCAAACAAAAGCCAGTGTGCAAGTGACAAACTTTGGCTTCCAACATCATGTCACTTTTTGGTCCCCGATGGGCTGGTGGCATCCAGAAACACACTGATGGTGGTCATTCAACTATCGTGAAGAATGTCAAGACATACCGTAGTCCCATTTTGATCCACATTTCTAGTCCACTTATTGCTTCATCAATGCCCAAGTATGGCAGCCAGTCAGTTACTACTTGCATGATGTGTTAGCGACGGTGTCACGAGAGGCTTCAGTATTGTCGCTGCAGATACGGCTCACCCTCATGCCAAAGATATTCATGCGTGCCTTTCCATGCAAATATTTAGTCGATTCCAATTTCCTAGAAACGCCAATATTTATTTTGGTGTGCTCTGCGGCTACAGTCGATTCGTCAAGGATGTATTGTCTCTTTCCTGGAAGGTGCATGGTACGTCATGTCAGCTGCTTTGCATGAACCTCTTGGAAACTGCCTGGACTGCTCCGAAGCACTTGCGATTGACCTTACTTTTCTTGGTCTGCCATGTCCATACTAATGCTGAAATGTAACAAGTCAACTGGACCATGTTTTAAGAATGAACAAACACATTCATTATAAAGGTTGAATGGCTATTTTTTTCTCAAAGTATACTGTTTCATACATAGCATATGATGCTGGCAAAGCTACTTGCACCAGCGCAGCTTAGTTTGTTATTCTGTTTTACCCGTGCACGCAATAAAACGAATGAGATGCCAGGTGTAGCCACTCGCAGCAGTACCATAGTCCTTATATTATTGCTCGCTGTGCTTTGTATGGAACAGTATAGCAGTAGCACAAATTTTGAGTACATAAACAGTTTACAGACCCAAATCTAATTTTTTGCATTCTTGAGTTTTATGAAAATAAAAGCATCATGCCTGAACACCATCTGCCTGTAAGTTATTCCTCGCAGAAATGACAAATAAATGTACCGGGAACATCAGTTGCTACAATCCCAAACAGGGTTAAAAACAGGTATGAATCAATAAGCAATTACAGTCGAGCCCGGTTATATCACACCCGGGTATTTAGAATTATTGTTTATATCGAATAGTCCAAACATCCCCTTGAAAATCACGTGTAATATGGGAGCGTTCTTTTTCTGTATCGCTGGTGAGCTAGCTCGCGTTGCGGGGCTGGCAGACCGCCAAGCCAGCATACCCGCACGGGGATACACAGTGAAAGAACATAAAAAGAAAAGAAAAAAGTGGGGGATGGCAAAAGCAAGGGGAAGGGCACGCGCGTGCGTAGGGAGGACAGGGAGTGCTTGCTGTTGGAACCGTAGTGTGCGCTCTTTCCACAAACACCACTGTCACTGCACTACTCCTAAGCTCCAAAATAAAAGAAACAAACAAAAAAAGTCTGTCAAGTCAAGTGTGTCAACGACAGTAGAGCAATCTCACTTCGAATGCCTTATCTCTGTTTACCTTTTT